ATCGCCTAGAGCAGCTTGCACGACTTCCGCGAGCTCCGCCTTGATGAACTTCTTGCGGTGCTCCAGCGAGCACGAGAACCGTTTCTCGAGCATGGCGATCACCTGATCGATCGTCGGGCACGAGAGGAAGAGGGACGAGGGAGGAAGGGACGATACAGTAGCCGCCGTGGGTGGGCTCGGGCGTGTCCTGCAATACTTGTCAGTGGCAGACTCGAAGATGATGCCACGAGGGAGCATACACCACGCCTACTTTTCTGTCCAAGGCCCACGCAAGGACAAGAGCAGCAAGCGCAAACGACTTATCTATGTGGCGAGGCGGCTTGACGTTCGGCTGTCAAGTCGTCCACCAAATCGAACAAGGAAACATCTAATGCCGTCTTTCACCTGCTTGGGAGTGAGCTTCCCAACACCCTCCACATCCCCAGGAACACCACGCATCGCCTCCAGGAGACTCTCATCCGTGGGGCCTTGATTTTCGTCAGCTTCTCCCGCTGACGCCACGGCCTCCCCCCCGCCCCCCTTCTCTGCTGTTGCCTCGTCGGGGGAGTCATCCACAACGTCGACGTCAGCCGTGGCCGCCTGCGCTTCTACGTCCTCCTGAGGAGCCGCCTCTTGGTCTTGAGCGACTGGCACTGCTGCTGCTGCTGCTGCTGTCTCTGTCGCATACTTCTCTGCTGAAGTCGGGGACTCGCTACCGCCGTCCTCTGCCTCGGACACGCACGCTGCTGCCTTCGGCGGAGCACACCCGTAGTCGCAACTCTCTTCCTCCAATTCCTCCGCCACCGCTTTCTCGGCCTCATCCGGCCCAGCAGGCGTCCCCGCAAGGGGTTGGTTTGCCTCGCACTCCACCGCCTGACCGTCGGAACGAAAAGGGCACAGCGTCAGAGTCCGCGCGTTGAAGAAAGCGCACACGTCGAAACCAACAGGTGTCGAAGAACGGGAGACGAATCGGTATTTACGCAACACTCTTCCGGTCGACACCAGAGCACACTCGTGCACCGAATGCCGTTACCCTAGAGGGGGGTGCTCACTGTACACAAAAAAAAAGCATATTTTCAATGCTACAGTCCGACATAGTTTTCGATCCAAAAGGCACAAATCCCCACGCGACCGAATCCACAAAGGATAACAGCCGTGGCGTTACATCTTCATCTTCACAGATGGAATTGAGGCGACCACACGAGCAGCTTGCACATACATCTCGAGAGTGCTTCCGGCGTACGAGTCGAATTTTGAAATTGAAATTTTCAATTCTCCCAGGAGTATAGATGCAGATAGATACTGTCTCAGCAGAAGCTATCGTAAGCAACAGAAGCAAGAGCATTCCGTGGAGTCCATAAACCAGCAGCTCGACAATAACCCTGTTGTAGGCAAAACCTCCAAATTCCACACCCGTGAACGCTGGACTACAGCGCTGCTGTGCATGCTGCGAATTTGAAAACCGTGGCGCCGCAAATCCACTGCTGCACAACTCAGGCACTGCTGGATCCAAGAAGCAAGAAGCAAACGCTCATAAAAACAGAAAACCACTCGTACCTCATCGTCCTGTGCATCCGCTGCACCCTCTTCTGCACTAGCTTTGCCGGTATTCGCAGTGTCCTCTCCTCCTCTACTGGCGCTGCTGCTCTCGTCCCGTGCCACGGGAGGCGGCGGAGGGCATGTCATTGTCGTCGTCGTCGTTGTGATGGCGTCCAAGGAACACTCAAAATCGAACTCGTCCAAGCGACCAGGAGACGGCACGTCTTCTTCGCACCGTGCGTCACGGCGCGCTGCGGCTGCACTTGGTGATTGCTGCTGCTGCTGCTGCTGCTGCTGCTGCTGCTGCTGCTGCTGCAGGTCCATGTCCATGTCCATGTCCATGTGCTGTGGGATGGTGTCCTCGAGCAGCGAGTCGGGTTCCTGAGGGGGAGCCATCTCTCAGCCGTTTGAAAAATTCAGTCGCAGATTATTTTCAAATCCCAGCAGTGCCGTTGTGCTCCAAACCTGCACGCGCACACTTTCTGTTGCGCAGTTGACGCCCGGAATATCCAGTGAGAGTCCTCAACAAAAAGTGTAGAGATTGTTTGGGCTGCCGTGTTTGCTAGCGTTGTGCGTTGCCTGCGCACGACGGGTGGGACAGTGCACGGAATGACAACTTCAAATTTGGGAGTCTGCAAGAGGCACCGTGAATGGATAAATGGGTTAGATTTGTACCCCTCGCGTCTGACTTGTTATGCCCCCGCCATGGCGGCCAAATGGGTGTGTCTTGTCTTGTGTGTCAACCGCACCACTTCTGTTCTTGTTGCTGCTTGCTGGAGGTTTGTCATCAGTGATCATGGCCCGCCTGTCGATCATTGCGCTGCTTGTGTTGGTGACGTTCGTTGTATCCGATGCGTTCGTTTCTCCAAAAGCAAGATGGGCCTCTGCAGCGATCCACACCAAAAGGCAAGCCAGGTGCGCCGTGATCATGTTTCATGCGTGGCACCTCCGGGCTTGCCTGTTGCTTGCGGTATCAACGATTGGTACTACATGAGTACAAGACTAGAGCAACAACGTAGGAGACTTTATGTACAGCAGTGAGCTCAGTCCTCACGGCATTGTGTAGCCAAGACGATGCGCTGCACCGCTTCGTTATCGTTTTCAAACGCCCAAACCACATGGGCACGGCTGCGGACAACACTAATGATGAGACAGATGCCCCGCACCGTCCACAACAATCATCCGCGCCTGCAAGACCATCAGTTGGTGGCTTGTGCGGCATCAAAATGTACGCTGAAAGCCACACCCTGCCGAAAATCCAACAGGTCACTCACCACACCGGTGGCGGCTCGGGTCCGTTCGATGACCGTAAGAACAGCCGCCACGTCTGAGGACGATGACGCAACAACCCCGACAAGAACAACCCCGGCAGAGCCTGCGAAGGCCGCGGTACCCGAAGACCTGGACTACTACAGCGGCCTGATAGGGGAGCAGCCCGGGGCGGACAAGGCGCCGACGAGCGGGAAGGAGGAAGCGGTAACGACCAGCGACTACCCGATCCCGTTGCCGTCGTACCTCCTGCTGGTGCTGGCCACCGTGGTGTCGATTGCCTTCACCGGGAGCATCTTCGAGGTGACCGGCGGCCATCCGGAGGTGAGAATCTCGCCAGCAACGGCATTACTATGATGTCTTCGCTGGAAATGTGGGTCGTTTTCCACACGGCCGGGTGTGACGAGACATCGCGTGCGTGCGTCCCGCTGGTCGAACGTCCGTGGTGTTGATAAGGTAAGTCAGAGCGCACCATTATCCCAACTGGTGAAAATGTCCTGTGCTACATGTGCGTTTTCCATTCGATGCCACTGCAACTGCTCTGTGTGTCGATTAGGGGGGACGTCGGGCAGTCATAACGAAGGAATGCTTGCATGCCGATAGATACGGATGTGACACGAAAAGATACAGCAGATAATGATTACGTCGTACGGTGGATGGTGCCCTGCATGTTATGCCCCATGCTTTCATGGAGCGTCAACACATGGTACTGCAAGGTCAGGGTACATACTACAGCCAAGCCGATGCTGCTGTGCCAGTAGAGGACAACGCGCATGACCAACGCTAGGTAACTGTATCCCAATGATACATGTATCTCAGGATATCTGTTGGAGTACTCAAGATTCTCGCTCTCGTCCTGTGCGAAATCTTGCTTGATGGCTCTTGCTGGGTTCACAACGGTAGATTGTTCCAGTTCTTGTTAACCGTTGTGCACCCAGCAAGAGAGCTTAAGCGAGATCTACCAAAGGACGAAAGCGAGCTTTTCCACAGCAGTAATACTCTAGCAGTATCCTGACACATTATTAGGATACAGTAGTTATTAGCGGTGCTCTCCTCGCGTGATACCAATAATTGTAGAAGCTTGTGCGTTCCAGCGTTGGCGGCTTCCGTATTTCGTTTCTCCAGTAACAGTGGTGCGCAGCAATCGCGTGTGTCTTGTTTGTTTCAAGTCAGAAAAGGACATCGCGCCGCGTCACGTCTGTTTTTTCGGGGTTTTGTGAGTGGCGCGAGTGTTGCCTAACGCCTGGATAACGACAGGGCACAATGTGAGCATGCACTGCTCTCGAAAATTGGTCTGTTCCCTGGTCGCATCTCTGATCCGACATTCCCTCTCTCGACCGCTCGCTCGCTTTTTTTTTGGGGGGGGGGGCGGGGGGCCGCGTTTGCTCTTTTTCCTTTCGACGTCGCAGCTCGGGTATACCGCGACCTACATCATCGGAACACTCTCGCTCCCGACGTTCATATTCTTGTTTTACGCGGCGATCAAGAAGGGTCAGGCCGAAGTGGAAGAAGACGACGCCAAGTTCGGAAAAGGCCGGTGGTGAAGCTTCCGTCCATCTCCTCAGACAGAATGCACTCAAGTGGTAGGTTGCTGAGGTCAAGACTCCACCTCTGGGCTGTTCTTGTCCGTTTCTTGTAAGATTGCTGTTCTTGTTTTGTTTTTCAGCGGTTCAATTGCGTGGGAAGATGCACCTACACAAGTTTGGCGGTTTCTTCATGGGCGAAATCTTAAGGTTGTCATGTCAGCGCCAGGATTTTTTCTCCGCAGTCTGACCCACGTCGCATGCCTACTTGTTTCATCGTTAAAGGGGCGTTAATTGGCGCTCAAGCAGCAGCGGTTACGTTGCACCGCGTCATTGTGATAGCCGCGTGGGACTGCCGTAGGCAGGCGCGGTCGTGTCTTTGACAATGGTCCCTAAACGAGCACGCCGTTGCGCTGGTACGGCATGCGTTGCATTCGACCCCCTTGATGTGCCTACGCGTTTCTTCAAATTCCATCGGCCGCGCAAACCGACTGGCTTTATCAAGATTAGCAGTGTGTCTCAACCACGGAGCCGCGGAGGAGACTGGACATTCAATAGGGTCCATCGGCCGGATATAGCTCGTTGTCCGAACACGTGCGTGTGCGCGTTGTTCGTTCGTGTCGGGTAGAGGAGCAGGAATAGTCCGTGCGCTTTGGAATAGAGGAAGGAAGGTACAAGATCTTGCTGTGCTCTGGGTGAAGGTTGGCTGAAGTCACTTCAATTTGATTTGCACGTGCCACACACAAAGCGCGTTGGAGCACCCGAGGGTTGCAGTTTTTTTTTTATACGTTCGGTTGGACGTGAAAAAGCTGTGCAACTTCTTGCAGCGCGACTGACTGTTTTCGCTGTACTGCTGAAGCTTGTGCCCTCTTCCAATTGTTGAGGGTTGATCATCCAGTTGAGATACTGGCGAAATGTTCTTCGCTACCGTGGGGCGGTGGGTAACAAGCGGGGCAATAGGAGGGAAGGTGGTAGCGCACGAACTACCGCCCTGGTGTCTTGCGGAATTTTTCGCACGAGCATTATCAAGGGACATAGGCTCCCGTGGTTTGAAGGAGACCCAGGTCGTGGTACAACAGTATTTCCCCACTGTGGGGGACTGGCGCGTTTCTCTCTTTAGATTTGGCGAGGAGAAGATCTCGGAAGAGAGAGAGAAGGCGAACACCGAAGCGAGAGGGTAGGGAAGTCCGACCTATTCACGCTCCCCATCTCCGGAAGTGGCTTTGGAAGAGTCGCATCCATAGTGGGGTTGCTTGCTGTTCAGCGACCAGCAAGACAACTCCTCCGCTCAGATCGTGTCTGGTCGTGTGTGCACCAATCTTTCAACATATCTGCACCGGTCCTCCACTTGCCCATGATTTCATTTGTCGACGTAGCCGGAATCGCGATCAATTAAGCGTGAATTGGTAATGTGTCATTCAGGGCATGCGAAGGTGCAGCTGGTTCTTCGTACGAGACCACATGCTGTGTGCTTTTCCCGTACGCTCCTGAAGCCATTCCGTAGTGCTTTCGTGTTGTGGAGTGCTTGCGGGACAAATGCAAGGCCGAGTCGCTACCTAAGTTCGAAACGGTGAGAGATGGTTTGTCGAGCAACTTGTTTGGCAACTGCTTAGGGTTTGGGGTGTAGCAGGAGGTCACCGAGCGCACACAGTACCACACGGTCCCGGGAAATCCGTAGTGAAAGGTCCTGTTTTCACAATTTTATAACATGTTCTCGACCACGACTCGTGGCTTCACAGGTTTGGCCACCGCCCCCTTGTAGACTACCCTCATAACGAAAACAACACATTGATCTGCCCCACGAAACGACGCCCATTGTGCAGATCGCGTTCTCTACCATTCTACATGGGCCAAAGGATTATACGCACTCAATTCAGGACAATACAGAGTAACGGCGCAGGGTTATAGCTCACGTGACGGGCATGAAAGGTTACCTGTACACGTGGTCGAGGAAAGAACGGGGGCATCAAAGCAACATGAGGAACTACAGTACACACATATACAAAGGCTCGACTCCCCCCTGTCCTTCCTCAAAGAGCAGGATTTCTCCTGATGTACGGCAAATTGCTGACTGTGTTCTTGCCCCCTCGCCGCAGACCGCCGTCGTCCTGGTGTGTCACTACTACGATATCGTTAACAGGCATATCACGGTTCCCTCCTCCAGACAACGTGGATGACAGTCCCTTCTCGAGCCTGGCCGGTGCCGTGCCGGTGCCATCCCCGCCACCGCCCCCCCCTCTGATGATGCTAACACGGGCCTTCTCTGCCACCGCGGCGAGCGACCGCGTCGAGTGGATCGAGCGCACGCTCCTTCCTCCTTCCGAGAGAGCTGTGCGCGCGATGCTGATGTTGTCGTCTTCTTCGCGCAGGTTGCGGGCGCCGGTTCTGTCGCTGGCGTCCTCGAGAGTCGCCAAGTTCTTGTCCGTGAGCTTCATAACCTTTGCCTGTGTTTTTTCAAAACATTTGCCAGGGGATTAAGATAACACGGACTGTCCCTGCTGCAGGCGCCGCCCCCCCTACCAAAGAGGAAGAAGTCAAAAGTCATCACTGCTGTTCAATCAAATCAGTCAACACCTGAGCCAGCTGTGGAGAGCATCCTCCCTGTGAGGAGCACCCTGCAAATGCGAGCACAACCTGTAAACCTCGGACAACAGGGGATACGACCGAATCAAACCTTCAACGATTTGGGTCGCGTCTCGTGAATCTGTTGCGGTCGTCCGAGCTTCCTTCAGTAACTCTTTTGTACGCAGGTCAGACCAAATCGGAAGATCGCTGTTGTGGACCAACTTGTGTCACTCTTGGCCACTGCTACGACTTTTCCATCAGCTGATAGATACGTACTAGATGTTGGTGGCGTATCGGCATTTTGGGCGGCAGGGGGAGTGGGTGTAGCGAACAATGCGATCTAACTCAACCGTCGATGACGCGACGCAGTTCGCGCACTCCATTGGGTTGTCGGTGTCCAGACGCCAAAGTTTTTGAAAACATGGGTGGATATCGTTCTTCTCCAGCTTTCTGGGCTGTTTGCTCTTGTAACGAAATCCCTCACACCTGCATTCGAATCTCAGCCTCGTCCAGTGGATCGTCGTCCTGGCCTTGGCCCCTGTCGCCACTACCGTCGTTTTCATCTTCGGGGCTTTCTTCGTCCACTTCCGGCTGCCCCTCGAGCTCAAGTATTCTCCTCTTTACCTGGTCGATCATCGACTGCACCTCGGCGTCTTTGATGTACCTTCCAAAGTCCAACCCTTGCGTAAACTGCAGTAGTTCCTGTCGAAACGTGCCGGGGGAAGCTTAGTTTAGTAGAGGTTTTGTTAGGGCGCCTGGATTATTCCCATGGGGAAGCTCTGGTGTTTCCGGGGGGGAAATATAGCTTGTCAAGCTTGCACTGAGCATCGTGAGTTTCATGCGTCCTACTTCCCATTTGCTGCATTGATGCAGCTCAGGAAACCAAGTTATGCCGCGGAAAATATTGAAGGGGGAATAAGATCAATCGTCACAAGGACGAGTGGACCAGAGCCGGACACCGTTGAAGTGCGGACGAGGACCTCAAGCGGTTCTAGCTCAAACGCAATCGATTGCTTCCCACAAGATCTAGGAGTTGCACTATCTCACCTCAAGCTCTTCCTCGTGCTTGAGCTCGTCCTCTACCTGGGCCTCAGCCTCAGTCATGGCCCACTTTGGTCGACACGGCTTCCCGTCCCTCTTTCTACGCTTTTCTACGGCCTTAAGCTCGGAAGGATCTATTCGATTTCCCACACCCTCTTCCTCTTCAAGCTCCGGTCTTGAACTCCCTCCTTCCTCTTTCCCATCTAGTCGATCGTCGGCATTCAACACGCTACACGGTCTATTGTGGTTTTTAGTCGTGGTCTCGGGTTCTACGTCGTCATCGAGCCCGATAGCCCACGCTTTACTCCCTTGCTCCTCGTTGCCATAGCCCTGGCCTATCTTGCGGTCTGAGGCGGCAGCCCCTAGCTCGCGAGTCATCTGCCGCATGCGCGCCTCCCTCTGGGCGAAACGTCTCTTATTCTCCTCTTTCTTCTGCAAATCCTCCATGTATTGTTCCTCTAGCGCCTGCTTCGTGAGCTGCAGGTCCGCCAACCACTTCCGGTGCCGAGTCAGTGCCGTCTCGCGCTTGACACGCTTGCGCAGCAGCTTCTCCGTTTGCAGGCTCTTGTCGGCGAACCCCACCTCCGACTTGACCTTTCCCGTGACAAAGGCATGCTTTCCCGCGGCGGCCCCGCCGTTGTCTCCGCCTCCCTTGGCCGCCGCCGCTGTTCCCGCGAACGGTCGATTGCAGAGCATCACGCCCTTGTAGTTCCCTATGCTGCCCGCCCCGGCCAGCGCAGTGGCGCCTGAGGGGCGCTCGCTGAACATCGTTCCTTGAGAAGGAACTGACATAGCGCTAATTTATTTCCTCCTGTCCTTGTGTGCGGGTACCAACAAGAGACCCGTGTGCGCAGCTGGTGTTCGAGAGCAGCCACCATCAAAACAATGGAAACATGCGCATCGCTCGGCTACACAGTTGAGAATCTCGCCGCATGAAACGGCCGCAACCGCCACCTCAACATCAATAAACTCCAAGCCTGGTTCTGTCTTGTCCGCCGGAACCCTCGCAACACCTCGCCCTCGCCCAACACCTGACCCGCCAGCGCTTTACTTGCTCCAAGCTGAAGGTCCTGACCATGAGGCTTGTGCCTGCTGCGGGAGGAACGTTCCTCGTTGTGCCCCATGTAGTGGGGTTTGCTGTCCGGCCGTTTGAAGCGGCCACGATGGCGGCGGTTCCATGGCAACCGTTCGCCATGGTCCGTCGCCATCCCGCACAAGTAGCAACAGCATCAGCCTCACCTCGGATGTGCTGTGATGGACGAGGGTGGCCAGAGTGCTCAAGAACCAGTCGGAGACGGCCTTGGTGGGCTACCAAAGCCGCGGCCAACCCTAGTAGAAGTGATACAGCAGTGTCGATGACGTCGACGCCGTCAGCAACAACGGCAGGGAGGGAGGTGTCTCTTGAAGATCATGAGCCGAGCAGGCCAGCAGGCCTCCTCCGCCTGGCGATCGTGGGCGAGAATGCGGACGAGCTGGGGCTGAGAATAGCGGAGCGGCACGGGCTCGTGGCGACGTCAATGGACGGGCTCATGAAAGGCCGGAAGGGAAGAAAAACGGACAATGTCAAGGCCAAGGCTGCGGCGGAGTGGCTAGGGGAGCGTCCTGCGAGTACGGGTGCGAGGAGGGGGTTGCGTAGAGTCCGCAGAGAGTCTATGTCGGGGGCTGAGGATGCACCAGTCTTCGTCTACTGCAGCAATGGGTACAGTATTGAATCGGGGTCCTGTTGCAATTACCCTCGTCTTAAATCAGAGGTGATTCTATCGCCTTTGATGTTCCTCTTGCTGGGGGGTGATTCCTGCAAGGCGAGGCCAACTAAATACAACAGACGTGCAGACTACAGCAGTAGGAATACATGCTTTCAGCAATTCTCTCTCTTTCTCTCTCTCTTTCACCGTTTCACCAAACATGAATAACCCGCTACCCGCTGCCACTTGTAACCTTCCTGTGCGGGAGGATAGGCGGAGTCCTGACGGGCTTTCCGACCACAGCGACACAGGCGGAGCTGTTGGAGAAGCAGGGGGTGGGTGTCGAGCAGTTGGTTCTCCTCGAGCGAGCGGGCGCGGCGCCGGAGGAGGCAGCGAACGAAAGCGAGGGAGGGGAGTTGTACCTTTTGACGTCGCGATTGGAGGGGAAAGTGGTGAAGTTGACGAGCCAGCAGGACTTAGACAGCCTCTGCGACTCTGCCGCTAGCCTCCTCGCCGTCAGCGGAGGACAGCAGCGCAGCAGCGCTGCCTTACGCGACATCGATGATGTGCCCCCCACGCCGGCAAAAGCGGTGGAAACGTCCACGTTGCCGCCGTCGACGTTGAGGGACGCCGACATGATGATGAGCCCATCCGAGCTCGCGGTGGCGCGTGCGGGGGCCGCAGACCCGGAAACGGAAGACCTCGAAGCCGCCGACCGCCGTCGGGCGCGGTCAAGGGCCGGTGCGAAGGCCAAGAGGGCGGAGAAGGCGACCATCCGGCAGAAGAAGAGGATGGCCAACGAAGCGCAGCAACTGGATACCCCGTTCTACGTGGCGGTGGCCCAGGGTGGGCCCAAGGCCCGCTTCCGCCCCCCGGTGCCTATGGTGCCGTCGCGCATCACCGAGCGCCTGTCTTCCGCCGCTTCTCCGGGTGTGGGTGGGGAAGACGCCGCCGCCGACGGCGGCGGCGCAGCGGTCAACACCAGGCTAGACTTCGGACCGCTCGTTCTCGACAGCCCGGCGTCCGACTGCCTGCTGGCGGCGGGCATAACGGAGCCCACGGGCATCCAGCAAGCCGGGATGGGTCCCATCCTGAACGGGGAGAGCGTGATCCTTCACGCCATGACCGGCAGCGGGAAGACGCTGACGTTCCTCCTGCCTCTCATGCAGCGCTGGACGCCAGGGCTGCTCTCCACGTCGGCAGCAGCGGCTGCAAGTGCGGGCGAAAACGGCGAGCGAGCCTCGAACAAGGCAGGGGGCGAGATGAGCGGCGCGCCTTGGCAGCTGTTGCTGGCGCTCCCAACGCGCGAGTTGGCGGTGCAGGTAGCGAGGGAGGTTGTGCTCCTTTCCGGCGGGCTGACGGCCTCCGTGGAGCTCCTGGTAGACGCCAACACTTTCCACGACCTGTCGAAGGTCACCGCTCCCATCGTGTTGGGGTCCGCCAAGGTTCTCGAGAGGTATTTCACGACACGCAGGGGCGCTGTGTTTTTTCAGCGTGCGGTGTGAGAGCAAGTAGTGAGAGTCGTTGTAAACTAGATGTGTTCGTTTTGCGAGGATAATTATTCGTTTTTGGGGAAGTATGTATGTCTGTGATGCTTTACGGCATCAACGCGTACCGTGACATCATTTTTGGGCACATGCGTTCAGCGTGTCGTTTTGGGGGTACGCCTGACACAACTCGCCAAACGAAATGACACCTAAGTAATAGTTTCACGCCGTAGGACCAATAGAACACGAGTCTCACCAGTTCACGCCACTCCGCACCCTCGTAAACAACATACCCGTCCCGCCTATGTCGGAGGCATATGAGTGTTGCGCTCTCGGCGCCTTTTGCCCTCACGCCCTCCTCCTTCCTGCCCTCCCCCCGCTTTTACCTTTGCGTGTCTCGCAGGCGTATCCGGAAGTCCCGACCGACTGTCCGAGAGGACGTGCTGCCGCGCATCAAGTGCATCGTGGTGGACGAGGTGGACAGGCTGGTGGACGTGCTGTCCAAGCACGCCCCTGCGAAGGAGGCAGAGAAGAGGAAGAGGCACGCGCGCCCCATCGCCGCCCTGCTCGAGAGGGTCCTTGCGGCGAACGGGGAGGCGCAGGTGAGAATGATGGATATGTCGGTTTCCTCGCTCACTTTCTATTTGTGTCGTTAATTTTTTCGCTTTTGTGATCGATGCATATGGCATGGTGTCCGCCGTCACTGTGCGTACACTCGAGCGATGCACCTTGCTGGAGCCTGCTGAGCGAGGTGCCGGCCTTGCCAATAAACCAACGAGACGCTTCTGTTATTGCAGACGGCTGTAGCCTCAACGCCCGTGCTCGCCCGGCCAGCGACGCGTATCTTGGCGCATTCGCCGTTCTTGACGTTGCACAATTATTAGCTTGCCCAGGACTGGATGGGGGAACCGATCCCGTGCCTGCAGGCTAGCGGCCTTGTCTCGACATGCGCTCAGCAGCAGCTAAACAAGAACAGCAACGACGCACGCCTTGTTGTTCTTTTCGACAGGTTGTAGCCTGCTCGGCGACGATCGGCCGCCCTCTTCGGCGCGAGCTGGGGCACATCGTCCGCCGCGCTTCCTCGATGGGTCCTACACCTCTCACCGCCGTCGCCGACTACGACGGCGGCCGCGGCGGCAGCGCCGGAAGCCGCGAGCTCAGGGTCATCCGCGACGCCTTCTCCGAGTCGTCGGGCCGGAACCTGGCCACCGAGCGGGCGGTGGTCATCCCGGACACCATCCGGCACTACTGCGTGCCCCTCGGCAACGGAGACTTCTTCTCGCGCCTGGAGGGGCTGACGGCGGCGATGCGCGAGCTCCAGCCCCGGCGGCCGCTGATCTTCGTCCCGCCGCAGGAGCGGGTCACCGCCGTGGTGGCGCACCTGCGCCGCGCCGGCGGGGCCGTCGGCGCTCGAGCCGTCGCCCTGCACGAGGCGATGGGCTTTGTCTCGGACGAGGACTTCGGCGGGGTGAGGGGCCGCCACTTCTCCGAAGCCATCGAGCAGCACGACAGGTTGGTGGTTGGGCAGTCTAAGGCAGGCGGGGGCGCGGGAGGGGGGAGAGAACCGCGGGGCGGTGAAAGCGGGGGGCGGTTCGAGGGCGGTGCCGCCGACGAGTCCGGCGGGGTCACAGAGGCCGGCGGCAGCGGTAGCTCGAGCGGCCATCTTCTCGCCGAGGGAGTTGGACCTGGAGGTAGGCGGTTACGGAACGGGGACGGGGACGCAGAGGTCGGGGACGTACTCGTCACCGGGGAGGGCTCGGCGAGAGGGCTGCACTTCGACGACGTTGACTTCGTGTTCCTGATGCAGAAGCCAAAGAGCCCGGACGAGTACGTCCACCTCGCCGGACGGACCGGCCGGCAGGGGAAAACAGGCACCGTTGTGTCCCTCGTGGAGTTCGAAGAGTTCCGGAAGCTGCAGGGGTGGTCCTACTCGCTCAAGGTCAACTTCGAGCCGCTAGACATCTTGAACGTGTTGAAACGATGACGACATTTTTGTATTTGCTGGTTAAGTGTTTTTATCTAGAGATTTGGTGGGTTTGATTTATGTGTTGCGTGTCGTTGCTGTATGCATAGGGATGCCGAATTTTTATACTATTGCCTTTTTCAACACAGAACGCTGCGCTCTGCGATATGTCGTCTGTGTGTTTGTGCAGTTAGGAGCGTGAACATATGCCTGGAAGAAAAAGAAAGAGAAACAACGAAGTAACAGTGTCCCTTGTACCCTTGTTCGTGTTGCCTACCATTGCACACGACCCCATTCTGACGCAGAACGTCCATGCGCTTCTTTTGTAGTCATGTCGTACGTCCTGACTGAACCCTACTACTGCTGTATGCGCTGCTGATGGGTGCATCATAGCGTTTCCGGCGCGCGCCAAAACCAAGACGCGATGTGAAATCTTTGATGTTTTTAAATTACTTGAGGACGTCGAGCGTGTGGGCCACGTTACTCGGGAACCTTCCTATCACGTTACACTCCCGTACTCTCAAACTCGTTTTTGGTGGACATGTCGAGAATTCTGCGTCGTACATGTGGCCGAGGCGAACATGCGATTGCTGTCGGTCTCCTCGCGAAAGCACACTGCTGTGAGTGCAACATCCAAATCAAGAGAGGGATGGCCGTCTACGATTTCGGGGGCCATTTCCGTCGAGGGGCTCCAGTTTCCTGTGAGACAAAAAAAAAAGTAGTCTCGACTACGATTTCGCGGGCACTTCGTTCGGCGAACTCTCGCGGCGGAGAGGACGCGCGCTCCATACCACGCTAGCTCAGGGCTGCTGGAACAACTCAAGCCACAGACGTTCGCGGGCTCCCCGACCTTTTTGCCAAGGTTGCGTCGGGCAGGAATGGTGTAACCATCACCGTTGCACCGACCGTGGGGTATTTGCCCGTGCGGACCTCAACCTAGAACCAAGCGCTCAACTGCTGTGAAAGCCACGCAGAGCATGCACGTGATTGTTGAAGGGCCGTACAGCCAACGGAGTAACCCCCTCCGCTTGACTCCACATGCACGTGCAATCTACATCCAACGCGCAGATGGGCAGCAGCAGCAGCTGGGTGACTCCCCTCCCATCACATCGAGACTTGTACAAGGACACGGGTAGCGCAACAAATCCGTTTCAAGTGAAAGTGTGTGTCGTAGTGCATAAAAACTACAGTAATCGAAGGCTCCTCCCTGGTAGTACTACATGACATTCGAGAACATTGGGCAGAAGCTGCTGTCGACACCGGCAGCGGCGAGTGGCTAGATCTGCACGGTCCTCCATCGGGCGCGTCATGCGTGATGCACACGGGCGTCATCAACCAAAGGCACCCCGCTACAGAAGTTAGACAATCGTCCTTGAGCAACGACTAGCCTACATGGCCTGGCAATACTTAGCCCCCCTTCCCAGCCGCCCCCCCCCCCTTCCGCTTCCCGGCCCCTCCCACGGCTATGTTTCCGCATTGGTCAAGATTGCACAAAGGGTGACATCTCGAAACACACGGTCTGCCGAGTAGTAGTCTAGCACACCCAGGCCCGCGGTCAAAAAATATGCCTTAACGCACGCAATCGAGCAATTGGAGTAAGGCACAGGAGCTGTAACTGCAACCAACAAACACGTATTTTCCGTCTCTTCCGCAGTAAACACAATACAAGACAACACGCTGTACATGCAATGCAGGCCTCGTGGATTTTGACCAAACCCTCTTACCGAAACAAAGGAGACACAATCACCAGTTACACTCTATCGGTCAGCACAAGAAACAAATGCACTTCGTTGTTTCTCAAATGTTTCGTACTGCTGCAGTGGTGCAAGCGTACAACAGCAGCAGTCCGTTTGCGTGCTGGTTTCGCTTTCTCTCTATCCCCGTCTGTTTCTCGGTCTCGCGGGTGTAGTGTGTGAAACAGATATCATTTCTCCTGCAACTGCCATGATGAACGAATCGCAGGTCTGGCTGCAACACATCAAGAGAAGGCGGTGACTACCCCAACGCTTGACCGGTCGTTCGTACAAACAGACCAGATCATTGCTCAAACGAACCAATATATTCTAGCACCGGCACACACGAGAATAGTCAGATACAACCCGCTTGTGAGACAACAGGAAAAGCAGAGGAATCTGCAAGAGACTTGAAGCAAGGAATACCCCATCCCACCCGAACACAACAAGAAGCCGCCGTTTCCCCAGGCATCGTGCTTCGTTGTATGCTACACATACGAACAGCCAAGCGAGGGAACCAAGCTCAGACTTAATAGTGCTAGATGACTTCCCCCCCCCCCCCCCCCCCCCCCCCCC